ACCTAGGCCTGCTGCTTTTTTTTTGTGTTAGGGCAGGTTCGGAGCGGAAGCCGTCGGGAGTTCCAACGGGCCCAAATACAGAGCGCATTTTCTGGAAGTTTCTCAGCGGAAGCCCGGTAATGGTCCCGGCATTTTCAATTTTCAAGTGCTTCTTCCAGTTCTATGAGGGACGCTGGGCCCGGTTCCCAGCACGTGTCGCTCCCCGCGGATAGATAGGAGCATTAAACAAAAAAAAAGGGGGGCAAGTACGTTGATGTCACTTTTGAGTATCGAATGAGCGAAAAAAAACACGCGCACGCAAAGAAAACAGGCGCCCAGTTCCAAAAAGCACTGGAAGTACCAACGGCCGTAGTGTCAGGTCGGGTGGGGGGGAAAAAAATCCGCAACGGATTGTTTCAAACTCACGCCCTGGGGCTAGTCCCACTAGCAGCGTTGAGCTACCTCAACGCCTGAATCTGGACGCGTTTGGCGGAGATGTGCAGAAATGGTGTTCAGTTTCCTGAACTGCACGTCTCCACAAACACGGCCAGATTCAGGCGCTGAGGTTACGATGTACTGCGAAATGTGATCTTAATGTTCAAATGGGTTTTTTGGACCAGCTGCCTCCTCCCCGAAAGAATTTCCCAGCCAGGGCCGCCTGCTAAGTCCCCCTCTCCCCCGCCCCCTCTCTCTTCCCTCTGCGCATGATTTTTTTAATGTAATCTTTGTCCATTTGCTGTTGTTTTAATGGATGAAACTGCAATTAACTATTAGTTAAAAAAAAAAAAATCATTTGTTTGTTTCGGACATTCGTAACAAAGCGTCATCGTCTTCGTTCAGTCCTTCCTTGTGCACACGCCATCATCGCCATCATGCCCACCATCGCCGCTCCTCTTCATCAATCAATGATCAAGATCAAAGCTCACATAATGGCCGTCGATGTCTCCTGACCACACGTCCTTCCCCCAGAAGCACCTACCCTCGGCGCAGGTATCAGCACTTTGCATTCCGTGGGAATGAGATGTGAGCGGAAAGAAGGACGCTGGACCCGCTTTCCAGCAGGTGCTGCTCCCGACCAATAGAGATGGAGAAACCGGGGGACGCTGCTAGATGGGGTTGCTCTTACCACCACACCTAACAGCGGCCGCCGTTTTTCTTTTAAAGTTAAAAAAAAACAAAAAACAAAAAATGATGAGCGGAAAGAATAGAATCAACCACGATTGAAGGTCTTTGCCTGTGCAAGAGTCGATGGACGATGGCTTTGGTCAGGAGAGAGGAAATGCCCTAGTCTCATCTTTGCATGCAATGTCAATTGCGGCTCTAGCATGCAAGGTTACTGCAAAACGAAGAGGATGAAGAAGAGGTGCAAGCCATCGATTGTCATTCACTGGAGACGAAGTGAAAAAGAAGTCAAAGAAAGAGCGGCGTAGATCGGAGAAACTACGCTGAGACTGAGTTACCGCCGCACCAATGGTGAGACTTGGAAGCCATCGACGAGAATTCGCAAGAAAAAGCGAGAGAGAGAGAGAGAGAGAGAGAGAGAGAGAGAGAGAGAGAGAGAGAGAGAGAGAGAGAGAGAGAGAGAGAGAGAGAGAATAAAGCAAAAAGAATGGCCGGGAAAACTACATCGCCGCCATCAAGGGGAAATGACAGAAGACCCACAAAGAGAGTAAAGAGACGGGAGAGAGAGAGAGAGAGAGAGAGAGAGAGAGAGAGAGTAAAGTGACGGAAGAGAGAAAGAGAGAGAGAGAGAGAGAGAGAAGCAAACAGAAACAGACAACAGAAAAGAGAGAGAGACAGGAGACGCAAAACAGAGTGCGAGCTGTCGAGCGACCAAACGAGGGAGAGCGAGATAGAAAGACGAGGGAGAGAGAGCAGCGGGGAGAGACAGAGGGGCGTGATGGGCGGCACACAGAGAGAGATAGAGAGAGAGAGCCCAACCGAAAACAGAGAGAGCGAGAGAGAGCAAAAGATACGCACCTGCTCCTTTAGGTGCCCTTTTCTTCTCAGAACGTGGGCATCTGCAACACTGCCTGCGCGCATTAGATGCACCTCCTCCAGGGCATTTATGTTCAACAGATCCCGCCATCTCAGCTTCCCGCTGCTGCTGCTGCTTGCTCTCCATCGCACACGCCCGTCCAGCCTATGATTCCCACTTTCATCAGCTTCCTCTTCGGAATCCTCTCCTCGAGTTCCTTCCCTCTGCACATCTGTACCAAATCCTTCTTCCCCTCCTACTCCAACTCCTCCTCCTACTACTCCTGCAGCCCCTTCTGCTACTGCAAGTCTCTCAGTCGCTGTGCTGCTGATGTTGCCCCTCTTCAGGTTCGATTCTCCCGTCTCCCGGACTTGTATTTCCTCGGCTATGGTGACCATTCCTCGTCCACCATACACCTCATCCCAGCGATCAGCAATCGCCGATTGTCTCGGTTTCTCTTCAGAACTTGTTCTCGTGACATCTTCGGTCTCCCAGATATGGTCTTCAACACCTCCATCTTCCACACCTCTTCTTCTACTCTCGTCACATCCATAGCTGCCACGTGTCTTCTTCCACGTTCCCTTTCTAGTTTTCTCACTCTCTCGTCTGTCAATCCCTCCCCCTTCTCCGCTACCAGACCACGCCTCTTGCTGATCAGCCTCCTCTCCGTCTTCCCCTACCTTCCGATCGCAGTCCCCGTCGCATCGGGATCGCGACTCAGCAGCTGCAGCCGGTCCCATCTCACCGACCGTCGATTTCCCGGGGTTCCTGGGCCTCGCATTTATAGAGCTGAGTTGAGTCGCTTCCTCCCCTACTCCTCCTATCCCACTTGGCTGCGAAACGCATACCTCCTCCACCTGGTTCTCCATGAGAACTGTTTCACCCATGTCTGTGGTCTGGAAAATGCCGACCTGGTCCACTGGATTCTTCTTTCCCCGGGCACCCTCCACCTGGAAAACGCCAACCTGGTCTATCGGGTTAACCCTCCACTCGTCTCTCAAGCCCCCTCGACAAGCAACCATATTCTCTACCACCTCCCTTCGCTCTCTCTCCCCTCCTCCGCCTGACCTCTCTCGCTCCACCGGAGCTGCACGTCTCCGCTGTTGCCAAGCTGCTCCCCTCTTATACCTGACCGCCCTCGGCGCCCAAAATGCTCCCATCTCCAGACCGACCATACACGTGCGCGCATCGCATGCTGCCAGCTCGAACCTCCGGCTTGCACACGTTGCGTACTGTTCCCCCTCTTCCTTCGTTTTCCGTCCAGATTCATCCCAAAGACTCTCCACTCGAACATGGCCCACCCGTAACGTGCCCGCCATAGCCATTGCCATCTCAGACTGCCATGTCATTCGCCTTCTTTTCCTCGGTCTTCTTCTTCCACCTCCACCTCCACCTTCCCCACCACGATGCCTCCAGATACTGGCACGCGGCTTTATAATCAAACTCCGCTTATTTCGTCCAATCGCCGGGCTGTGCAAGACCACTATCGATGGCGGCAACCCAAATTCGAGTCCCGACCGCAACGCTGCCGAAGACCGCACACTCGGTGGCACTTTTGCTGGTGGCATTCCATCTTCATCTTTCAGCCGCACGTTACGTGGCCTTCCAGCGAGATGCCGAGCCGACAACGTACGCCTACCCCTGGGCGATTGCGTACGGCGGCAACTCGTCGAGAATGCACCGCGCTCTTCAACCCGCCGCTTCGCGTCGGGACCCAGCGGCCCATACTGCAAATGCCGGAAACGGCCATCTCGTTGGCGTGATGAGATCCGCGGCACAAAGGATCTCGGAAGGAATTCAAAAAAAAAATACTGCACCGAGCACCGCCAACACTGAAAAAACAAAAAAAACAAAAAAAACAAAAATGCCGCAGGCTCGCAGCAGACGGGGGGCCGCCGCACAATCATCAAAATTTCAAATATGCGGTCGCGTCGGAAAGTGCCGAGAGCGACGAAAAGGCGGGGCGGCCCACGGAAAAAAAAACGGCGCGGTGACCCATAGGTGGCGTTTCGCACTGGCGGGGAACGGAGCGGAGAAAAGAAAATGAAACCCCGCCGAGAGGTGGAGACGCGGAGCGTCACCCGGCACGCCAAGTCAGCAGGCAACGTGGCATGGATCGCATGGAACGAAGCACCACGCCACCAGCCGATGGCAGGTGATTTTTTGGGGGGGTAACTTCAGTAGAGTCACAGAAACGAGTTATAATTGCACTATGGGGCAAGATACAGTTTCCAATTGCACTTCGGGCACCCTACCTGGCCAGAAAGCTGGGTTGTATACATTGCCTGAACTGCAATTCGAAACCGTATCTTAGCCCATAGTGCAATTATAACTCGTTTTTGTGACTCCCGTGTAGTTTCCTTAGGCCCCAGGTAATTCAGAATTAACCTTTGGTCCAAGGATGCCATTCTTCCAGGTACTATATTATTGGTTTGAAAAAAAAAAACACAAGCCTATGTATATGAAACCATCAGGGTAACAATCCAGCCGCCTAGCTCAGTTGGTTAGGCATGCAAGTGGCATTCAGGAGGTTGTGGGTTCAAGCCCCATGGCCGCCTGCGGCGCACTTAGTGCCAACGGACTGTGATAGTCCTCTGGATACCCCTGATCGGTATTAGCGGGGTCTATGACCAACACGGGTGTGAGTGTGAGCGCGAGTGGGTTGTATGTGGTGTGTGGGAGAGTGTTGGCCATAGCCTCTGCTGCTACTCGATGAAGGGTGGGGGACGATGAGAAAGGGAGACACAGCTACTGGCAGGTCTCGGTCTTTGTGTTAGCCAGACCCCCACTGGCGGCCCCAACCCTATACCCTAACCATTAGGGGCAAGGGGCAACATGAAATCCCCCCTTCACAGAGAGAGGAAAACTATGCTTGCAGGGGTCCCCTCTAGAGAGTCTTAGGAGTAGGTAGTGGAAGGCAAAAAACAAATAGAAGTGGAGAGAAGAATATAGACAGTTGTGATCACCCCAATAAAATCAAATAAAATAAAATAAAACCCATCAGGGTAACAGTGCTCGGCAACAGTGCTGTAGCATCTATGGTGGCATCATAATGCTGTGGTCAGAAAATAGCGAGCCTCGGTTGGTTCAGCAAGTACTTCATCGAGTGCAGACGCCCTTCAGCACATCATCTGCTTGGATTGGGCCAAGAAGATTGGCCAAACATGAAACTTGCGTCCTGGGGTCAAGTGGTTCCACCTTCATTGGGCCTGCAACCCCTGCTTGGCATCCCTGTACCGGATTTTTTTTTTTTTTTTTTTTTTTTTTAAAGCTATATTCTTCTCTCAATTTCACCTCACTCTACCTACCTTCCACTACTCCTAATTGTAGGCATACGGGGAACCCCATAGCAGCCAGAACCGTGTTCACGAGAGAACATGTGGGGGCTGCTCCCGACCTGCAGGTGGGCGATACCGGCTAGGGGACAGCCGGTAGCATCAGGGACCATGCCAACAGCACCAATCCCTGTGCCTCCCCTCAGGTCCCCTCCCCTATGAACATCAGCAGACTCTGCTAAATTCTTTCCTACAGTAGGTCAACTCTTTTGCTCTTTTTTCTGATTTTCTTTAAATATCGACTTGCTAGATTAGATATTGCAATTCCCTGTGGTTGTTTGTTAGCATTTGGTCTCTCTCTGACTTTTCACTGAGGTGTTCAGGGTCCCATTCAAGGTCCGAACCCGAAGGCGTTCGGCCACCACCAAAAACTATTTCGGGGCCTAATTTATTTATTTTTTTCAGATTTTTTTTTTCTGAGTTTTCTATGATGTGAGGTACGTGCCTATAAATTTTGTAGTCATTTTGCTAAGCCAAAACAAAATTGAAAATCGCCAAAGATGGCGGTGTCGAAACGTGCTCACCCACTCACTATTTTTTTTTCACTTTTTACTTTTTGTTCTCACTTTATTTCGGGGCCTAAAAAAAAATATTATTCTTTGAAACTTTTTTAACGAGTTTTGTATTATGTGAAGTACACATCTGTACATTTTTAGGGCATTTAGCTATGCCAAAACAAAATGAAAAATAGCCAAAGATGGCGGTGTCGAAAACATGCTCACGCACTCGCTAATTTTAATTCTTGTTTGATTTTTTGAATTTTTTTCTTATATCTATTATCAGTATTTATTTTCCATATTTTATTTTTATTTCACAGTTGTTTAAGGAATTTGGATGTAATGCTCAGGCACATGTTGGTTATTTTATTTTTCTTCATATTTTTTTTTTCTTTTCAGATGTTTTGGATTTATTCTTTTTTTCTTTTTTGTCCAAGTTCGGCCCGAATGGCCGAACGCACCCCCACGGGGTACCGTACGTTCGGGCGTTCGGGCCCTCCCGAACGCTGGTTACCCTGTATATATATATAGGGTTACCAGCCCGTACGTACAGAGGTCCCCGGCCGACCTCCGTACGTACGAGCGTTCGGGGTCTGCAACAGAAGGCGTTCGGCCCCCGCCAAAAATTAAAATACGTTTTTTTCTCTGAATTTTTTTTGGTGAATTCTCTATGATGTGAGGTGCATGCCTATAAATTTTGAAGTCATTTTACTAAGCCAAACAAAAAAAAAAATCATCAAAGATGTTGGTGTCAAAACATGACTATTTAGTTTTTTTTCCACATTTTACTTCTTGTTTTCACTTTATTGCGGGGCCAAAACAATTTTATTATATTTTGAAGTTTTTTTTGTGAGTTTTTATTTTAATTTTTATTTTTAACCCTTACATCATTTGCTGCAGTCAAATGGGCTAAGTAAGGCACTCCCGGCCAAATCCCCACCACAGCCTCACAAGGTTGCGAGAAGTTCGAAAACCAATGATCCCAATCCCAACCCTAAAACAAAATTCACGTTCACTAATTTAACAAAAGTCAAATCTTAATCTACCTCCTCTCCAAACCACCATTATCAAACAACCCTAATCTCCACCAACCAAGGTTACGAAAACTATGATCCCAATCCCAACCCTAAGACAAAATTCACGTTCCCTAATTTAACAAGACTCAAATCCTAATCTACCCCTTTCTCCAAATCACCATTATGAAACAACCCTAATCTATCGAAATCCAAGCTAGATAACAGACCACCAACCAGCACATAAAAAATATTCAATGGTTTCATCCTACTTACCCACTACCAACTAAGAACACAAAAATCAATAGTGTCTTACCCACGGATACTCTCCAAATCACCATTACCAACACATAAACAAAATATTCAAGGTTTCATCCTACTTACCCACTACCAAGTAAGAACACAAAAAATCAATAGTGTCTTATCCACGGATAGTCAATGATGTCATGGAATTACCCAACCCATGGGCAAAACCGACAGGGAACGTAATCCAAACACTTCTAAAATCATCTTGAAAACAGTAACAAAATGGACACCTAATTAGAATGATGAAAATCCTTGTCGAATTGCCAATTCACAAAATACCAATCACAAATACTAACAAGACTTGTCCTAACGATTACAATCTAGGAAAACACAATCATCTGTATATCTGAAGTACACGTCTGTAAATTTTCAGGGAATTTTTGCTGTGCCAAAAAAAAAAAAAAAAAAAAACGTCAAAGATGGTGGTGTCGAAAACGTATCACGGTTACCTTTCGGTCCCTCAGGGGCTTTGAAATTTAGTTTTCAACAATTGTAGACGCATCTCGGTTAACCCTCACAGACTGCATCATTGCCGCAAGGGCAAGGATGGGTACATCATAGTTGAATTGGTTTGTCTTTAATAAAAATAATATATATCGTCAAATAGATTCGGACTTCGGAGGCGAAGTGCCACTTACCCGAATTGTCAATTTATGACCGTAGATTACGAAGATCGACGGTCGGAAATGAAGAATCAACATATGTGGGACTTGGCCCTAGTTGTACTCAAAATAGGTGTACCAAATGGGTGTACCAACCATTTGAGTCTATTGTCGACCACCTCGAACTATCCGTGGATGCTACTGACGAGCCGATTGACCGGTTGGCCGACCGGTCAGCCGACCGATCCACAGAGCAACCGGCTGGTTCAGCGGTCGATCACTATCAGTCTATCACCCTATTGAACCTTTGGAAATACCGCCCCAAAGACCGACCAGGCGGTTCAGTGCCGGAGACTCTGGCGAAAAGGAGAGCATGTTCCACCGACAGTTGCGAGAAGTTGGTCTTCCCATCCGCCGTATGTACTTGAACGCCCTGGAAGCCATCTGCATGTTGATGTTGGGACATGGAAAATGGGCAGCAAATGCATCCGACAGGGGCATACAGATACTTGTGGACTACATAAGGCCGCTGTGGAATTTCCCCTATAGCCTCCATGTATTGGTGGGGAGAGGCGTACATGAAATTTTGGGTCTCTATTTGCCATTGGTTAGTGTCCCAAATGTAGCTGAATGGTACGCCCATGAATAATTGCTAAGCAGACCTAAGATGGAATCTGTGGGGCTCAAATGAATAAAAACATTTCTCAATTATTTGGGGTTGGTAGGTACAATGATGGTACCATCCAGCCACCGAGCTCAGTTGGTTAGGCATGCAAGTGACATTCAGGAGGTTGCGGGCTCGAGCCCCGCTATCGCCTGCACCGCACTTAGTG